TATAAGTTAACTTCTCTCTGGCATTTTAGTTAAGGTAACAGAAACCTAACAGAATGTGCCCCTCCCAAAATTGGTCTACCTGCCTTTGGTCTCAGCACACTCTGGTACAGACTCATACTGAAGCCCTTCAAGTCCTTGCCATCGCATCTGCAAATAGTGAATGTGTTGTATACAAGGCTATTAGCTCCAGCGGGATGGGAGGAATCTATCTGATTGACCTTTGTGGCATCTGCATGTAAACTTAGATGCTATTTATCAACCCACTCATCCATCACTCCTCTCTCAACATTTATTTAGTGAACTCCTACTATGTGCAGGCACACTCACAGGTGAATGAGAAAGTCAGTGAACACAGATTTTATTGTCCTTAGATGGGATACTTCTTATGCTAGTGCATTCATTTAAGCCTTTATAAAGAAGTTTTATGGATTTATGGCATCAAGGGCCAGCATGGTGCAACAGGTTAAGCTGCCACCTATGACACTGGCTTTGCATATGGGCTCAGGTTTGAGTCCCAGCTGCCCCATTTCTGATCAAGTTGCTGGCTAACGTGCCTGTAAAAGCAACAGAGCATGGCCTGAGTGCTTGAATATCTGCTACCCATGTGTGAGGCCCAGATGGAGTTCCAGGCTCCTGGCTTCAGTCTGGTCCAGCCCTGGCTGTTGTGGCCATTTCGGGGGGTGGACCGGTGGATGACACATCTCTTTTTCTCTCTCACTAACTCTGCCTTTCACATAAACAAACAAACAAATAGATAGATAAAGGGCCAGCTCTGTGGAGTAGTGGGTAAAGTCACTGCCTGCAGAGCTGGCATCCCATATGGGCGCTGGTTTGAGTCCCAGGTGCTCCACTTCCAATCCAGCTCCTTGGAAAACAGCAGAAGATGGCCCAAAAGTCCTTGGGTCGCTGTACCCCTGTGGGAGGCCTGGAAGAAGCTCTTGTCTCCTGGCTTCAGATTGGCATAGCTCTGGCCATTGTGGCCAACTGGGGAATGAGCCAGTGGATGGAAGACCTCTCTCTCTCTCTCTCTTTGTAACTATTTCAAATAAATAAATAAATCTTTAAAAATAAATCCTTTAAAAATTAGTGTCTTTAGGATTTATGCTTTTGTATATTACTTAAGAGATCTTTCATTTCTAGTGTAATAAAGTCTCCCATTGCACAGTTTTGATTAAGAACTCAGGCCTGGAATGAAATTACACGAGCTCATCTTTACACTAAAAACTGGGCAACTTGGTTAACTACTCTGCTTCAGTTGATCATCTGTACCATGAGAACAAAATGAGTACTTAACTCAGAGGATTGTTTTGAAGATTAAATGAGCTAATGCAATTAAATGCCTGGAGAACGATGCCTCATAAATAATAAGCTTGCATTGTTTCAGCAATTCCATTATCTTTGTTCTTTACGATTAGCTCTCTAATCAAGCTGAAATTTATTTTCATTTATAGCGTAAATTGGAAATCCAATTTAATGGTTTTTTTCCCCACACTCAAAGACCGTTGTTGCCAAACCTGGTTAAAATCTTCCAGTAGCTTCTCTTTGCCGCTGGAATCACAGAACAATTCCTTATCTTGGTCCACTCTGCTCTGTGGGCTCTGGCCTGCTTTTTGGATCTTCTCATTTCTGCCCCCCTTCATTGCTCTGGTTTCCTCCGCAGTCCTAGAACATAGCTCCTACTTTCCTCCGAGGGCCTGTGTGCTTGCCATTTTCTCTGCCTGGAATGTTTTGTTCCCAAGTTTTATTGGCTGCTCCAGATTGCTCAGGCCTTCCGTGACCACCAAATAAAAAGGTGTCGCTCTTCCTGCCCTTCAGAAACCAAGCCGTCACTCTTTCATCACCCTTTGGTTTGTTTTATTCCATCTTGTTCTACTTATCACACTCACTGAGCAGAAGTTAGTTTTCATGTCATTTCTTTTTCTTCACCAGACCTTGGGGACAGAAACCCCTGCCTGTTGTATTTCCTGTTGCATCTTCAGGGTCTGCAACAGTGCCTGGGAAATACTTAATGACTGCGTCACTGAGTGGTCGTTCCTTTCTCCTTTCTCCCAACCCATGCAGGGAACCCAGCCGAAAGCAACCCTTGCTTTTGAAGGGTAACTGTGGTTTCAGGCTGGAAGGTTGACTTACACGGCCTCAGGAAATACCAGGGTGGGGACCGACCGGATGAAGACGAGGTGGAGAGGGGGACATTAGGAGGCCTTGCAGGCCAAGCCTACACTGACCTACGTAGACTCATGTGAGAGGCATGCGGTTTCCTGACTCACACCCGCAATACTTTCTCTAGCTTATGGTTGGTCTCAGATTAACTGCAATTTGCTTACAGAGGCCTTTCCAATGCTTCTATCTAAAGTGGATCTCCAGGTACTTGGTAGTCAGCTGAGATACCATGACACTAAGTATTCTGAGAATTTAATTGTGCATGTCAAACATTTAAAGGAAGGCACTAAGTGTGCTAGAATGTGACATCTGAGGCCGGGGTCTTCTCTCTCTTCTATCAGTCTTTCTGTACCTTGCCTGTAAGAAGTGCTCAGTAAATATTTGTGGAATGAAATGGTTAAGTGGTTTTTTTGGTGATCTTTTGTTTTCCTGTTAACATGTTTTTCTACTTTGATGTGGTAATGGTTTATTTTTCTCTGCGAAGCTGGAGCATCGAAAGCTGCTGGCTTTGAATGACTGGTCTGTTCTAGACGACCGCTCTGCCTGGCAGTGATGCTGTTTATCTCCGCATCAGATGCTTCCCTTCTTCCCTTGCCATCACTTTTTGGGCTGGTTTAAGTTGGAGGCCATCCCTACCTTGTTACCCTGCCTTCTCCCCAGAAGTTCACTGTCATAGTGAAGCTTTTGATAGTGGAAAAACTGAAGTATAAACTCCTAAGTTTTGATAAACACTTGTCCAAGACAGGCTGGAAGGGATATGGATGACAGAGTTGTGAGAATTCAACCCATGTTGAAACTGTGCATGGGTTAAAAACATGTCTTTAGTGCCTGCTGGGGGTAGGAAACTGTAGAATACATGCTGCGGGATACTGCAAAGCTGAAATGTGCTCCAAAGGGCAAATGGGGCAGCTGGGAAAGATGACTCCACTCCAGACTGGTCACATTTTGAGATGACATAAGGATATGCAGATGGAGACATCTTGGAAACAGATGTGATGCCGGGTAGAGTTGGCTTTGGAATAACTGAGGTCCAGCCTTGAGATTTTTGATTTAAGAAGCCTCTAGGATGACAGTAAATATTCAGAATGGCAACTTCAAAGGTGGACTAAGGTCCAGAATCAAAAGTTTTTTTAAACGAAAAGAATCCTAGTGCAGGTGGTACTTACAGTGGGAGAAAGGTAGTGATGTGTATAGTAAGGTAAGCTAGGATCTCATGATGGCAGTATGATTATGGGCATCCAGTAAGCGAAATATGCAAGTCACAATAAGATTGTTAGCATACACTATGGTCCTTAGGAAAGCACTAAGTGGGATAATATGCAATATTTATTTGTATTGAACAACTAAACAATTTTTTAAAGCAACAACCAAAAAGCGTGGAGTATGTTTTGCTCACCTTAACTGGAGCATCAGCATTTGCCACTCCACTTGCTTAGTGGCTGCCACATCCTAGGATTGGCAGTGCACCTCTGACAGAACTGCAAAGATTGATACATTTCCCGGGTGACAGAACACCTAACAAATTGCTGAGCTCCAGGGCTTCAACTTCTCCAGGTAGCCTGATTGGAAAACCTGGTTCTGTGATCCAGAGCCTCAAATGCAACATTTGCTAGCCCTGAGTCTTTGCACACAGGATGGTGTTGTGACTAACAGCTCTGGGAAAGGAGAGGAAGTTCTCCTCAAGTGGTAAGAAATGAAGCCAGGGATTGAAACCAAGATGGCCAGGCTCTTGCTCACGTCTGCCTCTGTGTTGCTATCCCTGCTCTTCATCATGTGTGCGAAAGTGAAGTCTTGGTGCAAGCTGGAGCCCTGTGGCCCCAGGACCCACAGGCACGGTGTCACATGCATAGTGGGTATTTGCTGAAGTGCTCTGCTCTTTGCATTCTGCCTCTTCCACCCCCAATACTCCCAGTGGCCTCTCATGGATTTGCAATACCCATCATGAGAGTGAAGGGTGGTTTTGGCTCAAGATGGCACCAGCAACCAGCTGCTAAAATTGCAAACAGTTTTACAAGAAGGGTAATATTAACCCCTTGCACAGGAGGGAATTATTTGGTTAGAAATAAGTCCCAGGAGAAATAGGGAAGAGGATATTTACAATTGTGCACATGCAGAGGAGAAGGAAGGAGCATGGGAGAAGGCTCAGTAAGTGAGGCCAGGTTGGGGGTGGGTGGGTTCTGTATGAGGCAATCTGTGGTTTTAGGGCTGTCCTGGAGTTAAGTAAGAGGCAGAGACAGAAAGGAGATGGGAGCATGCCAAAGAAAGCCCTTACTGCTTCCTCTTGCAGCCCCAAGGAGGGGGCATGGAGGGTGCAGCTTGAAGACACTTGTTCCAGCTTTCCTGCCATGCTTGCACTCCCTCCGACTGGGAGCTGGGTTTTCTCCCTGGCCTGGGGCATGCTTTGCACTCAGGTTGCAAACCTTCCTAGGAGTGCCTGGCAAGTCTGAGCAGATGTCATCAAAGATGTCCTAGGCTTGCTGTGAAGATGGTCTGTTAGCATTTACAGAGCACCGAGCATTTGCCAGGTACCATGCTCAATGCCTCATTTAATCCCTGCTAGTAGGTACTGTGTTATCATTCCTCATTTTCTGATGTGGCAGCAAGGGCACAGGGAAGTCCAACAGCTTTCTCAAAGCAGTGTGGAGCTGGCATTCAAACTCAAGTCCTTTTCCGCAGAGATTCTGACTCCCACTGCTGCACTCTTTGGTCTGATCATCAGGCCTATTTTCCTACTTATGCCAGTGAGTTGACTGTTAGAATCCTCCACACCCTGGTTTTGTACAGGGCATACAAATTAGCTGTTCTTGACCTTTCCAAATACCAAATGAATATTAACAAGCTTTTATACAAAACTGACTTTTATTACAATTAAAAAAAGAACAAAGACAATGTGATAAGTGCCTTTAATTACAATGTACCTGCTATTTACATGGAATTATACTTTTATATACAGCTTGAATAAGGTTCATTACATGTAAACTATACGATATGACAAGTTAAACTCCAGCCTTTTCTGAGTATTCAGAATTGAAATACTACCGGCAGAAACACACAGAAACAATGCCCATTTCAGTTCCTTAGGTACCATTACTGGATAAATGATCAAAATCTGGCCACAGAAGAGAATTGGAAACATGCATCAACTTGAAGCCTATTTTTAACCTGAATAACAGTATTGCTATTATTTAAACCCTAAACATAATTAATAATTGGATCACTAAAAACAATACAACTTCAATTTATATAGCACCTTTCTTCAAATAGGTCAAAGCATTCGTACTTATCTATATTATCTCATTTGTCCCCATAACATTTCTATGAGGTAGGCAATGGTTGGTATCATTATCCCCATTTTATAGATGGAGAAACTGAGGCACAGAGAAGTTAAATCATTTGCTCGAGGTCACATGGTCAAGTCAATGCTGGAACAGGAACCATACCCCTGTGCTCTGGTCTCCAAAACCAATGCTTCTCTTGAGATTAAACTGTCCCATTGGAGAATTTAATTCACTTTTCCAAGAAATAAAAAAAAGTGCACTTTTTTCTCCCATAAAAATTGTTGAAGCACTACAGACAAGAACAAACACTCTGGGATGGGTGGTAGACTGATGCTACACTCTTCTAGAAAGACTTATGTAAGTTTAAACATTTGTTTTTGCTTTTTTAATATGAAGAGTTCCCTCTTCCAGTTAAAATAAACTCAGAACTATGTTTGAAAGGATGCTTTTAAATAGCTACAGATTATATATTTCATGGCCATATTATGTTATCCACAAAAAATTATGTTATTCCTGGGTTAAAAAAAGAAATATCTAAACAGTCAATCTTTTGAGACAATCTGCCACACTTACATACACTTACTGGTTATTAAGAGACTCAGAGCTATAGACAGAAGCTGGGATACTACATCTTTCAGAGAGACACACTACCCAAGACACGTGGGGGTGAGAAGCTGCCTACTTCATTTAGCTCAAATTTTGCTTCTAATCCCCACCTCTCCTTGGCTCCAGAGTTAAATACATAGTCGGTACTCAGGAAAAAAAAAAAAAAAAAAGGTGAAGCCAGGTTTAAAGCTGTCAAAATCTGAAGCATATAGAATGCTCTCAAATAGTTATTGACTGGAACTGATAATGCAGCTTTTCTGGCATTCTGCACATTGCTTCTCCCCAGGAGACAAGCTCTGTTAAATGTGCTGCCACCATTGAGGATATCGGCAGGCAAGAAGGTGTGCAGCAGCAGTGGGAATTAAGGTCCTAGTGTGACTCCAGGAAAAACAAGAGAAGTCTATATTCAAGAACTACATTGTAGAAAGGCAAGCAAGCTTAAGGGAGAGGTTGTAAATGTAGGTCAGGTTCATTTATGGGTCTCACATGAGAAACACCCAGACTTGTCAACGGAGCAATCAAATCCTTTCCACGTGGACTCGGCCTCTTTGCCTTCGTCTGGGCACCTCTGTCTTTCAGAGAAGCTAAAAAAATAAAAGGGCTCTCCTTAAGCTATGACAGGAAATAGAGAATGCTTTAAATTCATGGTTCCCAACTTGTTGAGTCACAAAACAAATGAAACCAAACCAAACTGGGACATTACAACAAAACATCTGAACTACAGGCTCCCAGCACCAAGACTTAACTTCTACATTAGCCTTCAGTGGGTCCTCTTTAGGGTGCATAACTGGCACATTAGGTGAATTTTTAAAATTAAAAAGTATAAAGAGAATGACCAGATAACTTTTCTGTTAATTAAAAAAGATTATAGAATATTCATGCAAAAATTTGACTATGATGGCTTAGAGCGAAGCTTAAAAAATCAAAATCAAACACAATCTCAACTACTGTAACACCGTTCACTTGTACCAGCAGTTAAAAGTTATTTAGCTCACTGCTTGGTCCCTCACTCAGAAAGTCAGATTGCCTACAAACGGGCAAGTTACTCTCAATATCTGGCCCTCCATGGTTAGATGCTTACGCATTCCTGGTTTTCTTGAGACCCAGGAAAGCAGAGTGAACTGGTTGTAACTAACATAATTCACAAACATCATTTCCCAGTCGGGAAGGCGTGTAAGAGCTACGTGGTTAAAACATTTTACACTAAATTGCTTTAAAAGTGATGAGTTTTTACATGAAGGATTTTTTTCTCTCAGGATTATTAGTTTCCTCCTACATCACTGGAAACTCTTGGCCTGCTGCAGCTACAGGCTCCACTTGCTGCAGGTTGGTCAGTGAAGCTGACCTGGGACTGGACGTGACACAGGCAAAGTATGATAGGGCACAGGGAACTTAGCTGTTACTTGGCTAGAGCATGGTGCTAATCTACTTGCACTTGAGAGCTGGATTTCTCCATGGGATGCACTAAAAGTTCTTCTCCACGACCCTTGGGTGTCAACCTTCCTCATGACAGAAGTGGGTAAGAGTGTATGTAGTTTAGCCAAACTCGTGACAACTGACACCAAGCATCTGCTTGCCTGGCGAATCCCGGCAGCCTGTGAAACAGGAACGTGTGAGCTGGGCATAGCTGTCTGCTCACCTGGTGTGATGAGGAATGGCTCTTTGCTGGCTGGCAGGGTCTGTCGTGTTGGGGGATGGTGATCAGTCCCGGTAGTGACAATGCATGTCACGAGTGGGTAGGACAGAGACCTGTGGTGGTACGCTACAGAATGACAGGTGGTCATCTACACAGGTGGGAAGCAAAAGTGATGTCATGCCCTCATTCTTTAGATGTCATGGAGGGGAGCAATATTATAAGATGTTGGAGCTAGCAAGAGATATTTTTTGACATAAAAATAAGTTTAAAAGTTCCCACTATTGAAAATGACTTTCCCATTCTTTTTGGAACTGGACAGTGTGTCTATTACAAGGACCCTCTGAGACAGGAATGAAAATGCCTCCAAGTGTCATGAATTATTTCTGAATATACTTCTAGCAAGGGGAGCGCTTTCAAACTGACTGGGGTCACCTAATAGAGAATAGGTCACTTTAGGGGTAACCATTTTTATGAGGAGAAAATGCACAAACAATGAAATGCCAATTCCTATTTATAAGAGACTTTGTTCGAACTTCACTCAGAAAAGATGAGGCATACAACACATTGTTTAAAACATAATCACATTAAAAATGGTGCCATTTTACATACAGAAGCCTGAGAAATGGCAATTACCAGGCTGCCTACTACATTATACAAGGTAATAGGAGACAACCAGAGGACAACACAAGCAAAGAAAAATGCTACTGCATTAAACATCATTCATGACTAAAGGGAATGGTTTTCAAAATTGCCTTTTTAAAAAATTGTACTTCTCTTTACATCTGACATGAAGAAAAATTTCAGTGACTATTTCTCAGTAAAAACAAAGCAGAAATTGGAAAAAAATAAGCTATTTTGCAAATATCAAAACCAGAGATAAATAGGGACTTAAAAAAAAGAGCAGTGGGATTAAAAAAATATAAATGCTTGTTCTCTTCTGGACCAAGATTTAAATATTTGATTTGAGGATTCCAGATGCAGATTCTAATTTGTCATGGTTTCTGGAGTGATCCCTTTAAGTCAAACACTTTTAGTCTAAGTCAGTTTTATCTGTCTAATGCCACTGTCAGGAATAATGTATTTAAGGAAAAGTATAATACAGAGTAGGAAAATACTACTACAAGATAAGGAATTTAGATTTCACAGCAAGTAAGACCACATTTGATATTATAGACACATGTTCCTATTTTCACATCAGTCACTTATTAACACCAAACATTACACTTTAACTTTGCTCAATTCCACAGTACAATAAGCCTGTCAAGATTTCCAGGAAATGACCACCAGTACCTACTGTGCTTCTAGCAGCCAGAGCTATGCTGGCTGGGTACCAAAAATCAACACTTTCAGAGAATGGCCCCAGTACATTACACAGACTCATATTAACCATTACAAGGAACATTGACAAAATGTCATTTACTCATTTACAAAATCCTAATTCAGTCTAAAACTGGAGCTCTACAATGATAGCATGGCCTGGTCTCAGAGCAGTTTTTTTGCACGTCTCATGACATCACTGCCCATTGATTCTGCTGTTAAACCTTATGGTTTTAAAAGGGAATGAAGTAAAATGCCACCAAGTGGTAACTGGTTTCTGCTACTACAGACTCAAGGCTGGGGTAGGAGGGGGTGGCACCTTGCCTTGGCCCACGGTTGGCTATTCTGTTGCTTTAGGTCAAATCTCTTCTCAAATACTTATATGAGAAATACACCTCTTTAACATTTCCTCCTCTTTGGTTAAATCTGTAGCAAGCCATATGTACCAGGGGACTTCAAAAAGTTCACGGGAAATACTCATTATTTTTTAATTCCATTTTTCCATGAACATATAACAAAATGATGTGAAGATACCACCGTTAATATCAGCCAAGGGAATTTTGGACACAATTTAAAATCCGAATGTATTAATCAGAAAAATTAGATGAAGGCAACTCAAGGTTTTCCTGTAATCATCAAATGAAAATGTCTGTAGAACTATTGCTTCTAATTCTGCTTTTGTGACAAGAGTTCATCACACCAGTAGGATAAGCATTTCAAAGTACATAAAAGAACACATTCTAATTAATTAAGCACCAGAGGTTGTGCCAGAGTGAAACACACACACACACACACACAAAGTACTTTAAAATATTTGTGGAAAAATGGAATTAAAAGGTAAGCTTATTTTATTGCAAAAAATCTGAAATCCATGCAATACATGAGGAGTATTCAAAAAGTTCATGAAAATGCCTATTATGAAAAACTATGCATGAATTTAAAAATGTTTGCACTGAAATAAAATCTATCTTTTAATTCCATTTTCCCACAAACGTTTTAAAATACCTTGTGTGTATGTGTATTTGTACACACATACATAGAGTTTATTATTGGTTAAGGTAAGAAATGCTTTCATTTTTCTAGAAAAATTAAATAAGGGAACAAGACAATAGTGACATACTGAGGTTAAATTTTAGTTATTTGTGTTGACTACTGACTGTTCATTTAGCACTCACAGAGAATGAACTCTGGGATTTTAAGATAGATAAATCAGTTAGAGACTTAATGATGTAATTAAGTTTAGGAGGGGGAAAATACATATGCAGAAAACATATTGGTAAACATTACTTTCTTCTAGAATTTTTTTCCTTAAACACTTAAAAGATGTTCCTGATGATGATTTTTGAGAAATATTAAAAACATTAAATATTAATATTAAAATCATTAAAAATGATTCTAAGGCTTCAAACTACCTGAAAAAAACAAAAAATTCTTCTTTTTAACCTAGATAGATGTACAATTCTGACTGATATTGCAAAAAATTCCTAAAATTTGCTTTTAAGCTTTTAATGTAACTTCAAAGAACCTAGGTTTTTATAATTGGATACATAGTATGAATGTCAAAGTTGAAATTTAAATATATAGCAAATGCTGTTTTTGACAATTAACCTTTGATATATTTAAACTCTGTAGTATTTAGCCCAAGATGGAACTATTTAAAAGGAGCCATCATCATCTTTTGTCCAACTCCAAGGTTCAAGAAAAGAGTCTGAACAAAGCATGATGAAACTCATGAAAAACTGTACTAGGAGGTCAAGACAGGGATGATGCATCAACAGGTACACTTCAGTAAAGAACCGGGTGCTCTCCAGAGCACAGCCAGGGTCTCCAAGTTCACTCTGCATCTCTCTCCCCTGGCCCTCAACACCGTGCTATCAGTTCATTCTTTTAGGGCTCTTCCTGGAGGGCCAGCCAGTTCCTGTTAAAAATTATACTTCAAAACTTTCTAGCACAACATAGTCTTATCACTGACTCTCAGCTGAAGACAGAGCCCAGTACAAATTTTCCTACTCTACTGCATAACCTGTATTTGAAAATTTCTGGGGGAAATTCTGATGACGAAATTTCTAGATGACACAATTATTTATAATGAACTTCTCTCCCCAGAAGGGGCTTTAGACTTTAGAGATCAGATCTATTTCCTTGGTGACAAATCAGACACGGCAAAATGCAGTAAAACGGTTGAGCTGTCGGCTGCCCAGGAAGGATGTTACCAGAGCACGCACAGTGCTAGGAGTGCAAGGTGACACGGCTATTACCATGAGCTAAAGGAGCCCCACTGAGGAAGAGATCTTTGGGTCAAACTCCTTAGTACCAAGCAGTGAAAATCACAAGGCAGTGCTCCAGAGAGCTCGGAATTCTGGGAGGAAGCACCTGGCACTTTCCTGATAAATTTCTCTCCAGGGACTCCAGGGTGTTCTGCCATTATCTTCTAATCAGTGAGGACGGTGCACATGCACGCGAGGCTTCACGGGAGAGACGAGGCTGACTTGAGAATCGGGACCACAGCCGGTTTACTCCAGCACGGCTCACATTACAGTTTCAGGAGTGTAATAGAGAGCAGTCACAAAGCAGAGCTCTGAGCACGCGGATGGGAGAACATGCCCGCAAGCTGGTCTCTACAATTTGCGAGACGCTTCATCCTCCCAATAGCATTCCTTGTCATCATGAGGGAAAACAGCAAGGTCGTTATACCTTTAAACTCGCAGATACCACAGCGGTGTAAGAATAATTGCCTCATTTTTTTTTTTTCTTCTTTCAGAGTAGGAAAAACTCCCTCTCTGTAGCCTACACGTCATAATCGCTCTTCAACTAGGCTCCTCTTAAATGAAAACTGGCCAGTTTTTCCAATGATGGCCTTATAAGACCTAAAGAGGGGATTAAATTCAAACTAGGCTGAGCTCTAAATGGGAGTCACTTCAGTCACCGATTTTGGTATCAAGAAGGGGAATATGATTCCAGCAGGCAACTTGCATTGGCAAGCACTGGCCCACAGAATTCATCAGCATTTTCTTTAAACACGTAGCTAAATCTTAATGGAATTATGATACTTTCATGAGGTTCACAATTCACAGTCATCCCAGTCATCTCTCATTCTGTCCATTTTTAGCATCTCAAGTATTGCAAGATTGCCCAGCACAAACCACTGAAAATAATGATTTGTGTCTATTCCATTTATTTCTCCAGTGGTCTAGGTGATTTGGACCAGGAGCTCCAAGTACCATTTGAAAAGCTGAGTCTTTAAAAACCTTCAATGTTTTAAACACTTGGTTAGAAAAAAGATAACAACTACTTATCATTATCTAGCTTATGTGCTTCATGGTGTCTTTTCAAAATGAGAGTATAAATCATTGTACATAAAATCAAAATAGTTAATATACATTTTTTCTGGCACTTTCTAGAAATTAGGCATTGAACATAAAACCTCTTATAAATTCATATAAGAAAAATAAATGTTTACATTTTAATCTCAGATTACCTTAAGGTAGCAGTTAACTTATGAAACTCCACACTGGTGGTTTGGTTGGTGTCGATCATGGGAAACACACGACAGCCCTTCAGAGATGGACCCCACGGCTGCTGTCCTTGTTTGCCATCCACATCCCAACACAAAGATTAAGGCTCACTGTTTTGAAGGAATGAGCTCTGGGCGTAAGCAAGTATAGCAGTACCAGAATATTCACTGAAAATACTGAAAAGGCTCCGATGAGCCGTCCGATACTGGGGGGACAAAAACATGTGGACTAGAAAAAGAAATAAAGGATCTATAACTGCTTGCAAGCACTTTGTGGGAGAGGCTGCTGATGTAGAACACTGAAGTTAGAAATCACAAAGACCTCAGGGATGTCCCTCCTCAATCCTACTGCCCTGCAGGGTTTGGCATCCCAGGGGCTGACATGCAGCTCTCCTAAGAGCCGGAGGGTTCCGGGCACACACTGTTGCTCACTCACTTAAAACACCTACCTGGAAGGCAAGGGCTAAGCCTTCCAGGAGAATTTCCTTGGACTGAACCATAGAAAGAAAGAAAAAAAAATTAAGGAGAAAAAGCCATCCATTTAAAGTCAGTAGCAGAGAGGAAGAACTCTTGGCTCTGCATGGCAGTATTTCAGGTGCATGTGGCTGTAATTCTCTGTGAGTGCAGCTCTTCCTTCTAGCCTGGCTTTCCTCACGTGGGGATGAAGGTCCTGGCAGCTGGGATCTTTTGCAGAGGGCGAAGGTGCATGAGGGAAATGTGTTGCAGTGTGCGTGTGTCCCCCCACCCTCCGCCCCAGGGGGGCAGGTGTGCCAGGTCTGAACCTCACTGTTTCAGACACTGGAGAAACCGCCCCGGCTTCTCCAGTTGTCTCCTGTCTATGAAAGCAGCACGTGAAGTGTGGGTTTGTAGGACTCGCTAGCTTTCCCAGAAGACACGTGCCCACGCGCTGCTCACGGGCTCTCGGGAGCTGTCTTCTGCGTCGCTAGAGCCTGGTGATGTCTCGGCATTGCTGCAAGTCCCCGATGCTCTCATAGTCATTCTCCTTGGGACCGAGGCCCTGGTGGCCATTAGTCTCCAGGGGGCCCTTTTCTTCCTCTCGGTTGAGAGTCTGTATGGCTTCATAGTCGGGCTCTGGCTCCTCGCGGGCTCTCCCTGCTGGGGGCAGTGTGCTGACCCTGCTGGGGGTTTTCTCAAAGTCTTTGACGGTGGCATAGAGATCATTGCAGGACGAGGTGGACCTCTGAGGCGTCCCTTGACTGGCGGGGGCGGTGGCCTCCGGCGCTTTTGGGGACTGTGCCACTTTGTTCCCTGCCTGTCCCGCTTTGTTCACTGAGGAGTACATGGCTGAGATCTAGGAAACAAAGCGTGAATGGAATAAGCCAGCTGCAAGCTGTGACTTCCCAGGGCCCCTTCCAGCGAGAAGCTTCGTACTCAGAATCGCCCCACCCCCACCCCGAGAGGGGCATCTCTGGGTGTGTGTCCCTGTAGCACTTGTCTGTCTTAGCTATCCCAAGCTATTGTACACATTACTGGTGTACAATACACAATACGTTCCACGGGGTGAGCACATCCATCAAATTCATTTAATTTGTGGAAAACGAGCTCTCTCCAGGTCTGCCGAGGGTTTGAGGCCAGCAGGAGGAACGGGAAGCGGAAGAACCCCCCAGGACCTGACCACAGCCCTGGGTTTTCTCTAATTTCCATATTGGAATGATGGTTTATCTGAAAAGGGGCTCCAATGCTTTACAGCAAAGGGTAGAATATATGTACGCGTTTTAGATCAAAGATTCTCCAGATCCAGGGGCAACAGCAGCAGGATCTGGGAATCCAACAGAAAGGCACACTGAGAGTGTCAGGTTCCGTCCCAGAGTCACCGAGCCAGAAACTCTGGCAGTGGGACCGAGCCACGTGCTGGTTCTGAAGCCCCTGGAGGGTGAGAGTTTCTGTGTTACGCTATCCCAGGCCTCCTGCCTCTCTGTGAAGACTGGCTGCCGGGTTCTGCTGGGCAGCTCACATCTCCAAGGGTAACTGCTTTCCAGTAGTTGCTGATACAGTTGCACATTAGTGGTTCAACAGACATTTACAGTCTGAGATTAGGGGGAAAATCTGCCACCAGGCAGCTCAGCAATGACATCTGGAGGCATCCCATGGATGCTCTTTCCCATGTCAAGAGCCGGCTGTGCTCCAAGCACACCTTTGCAAGCTCATGCATTCGGATCTCCTGTGCAACCTCCTAACATCAAGAGGGACATCAGGTAAGGACAGGTGAGCTGTCCCGCTGCAAAGGCCTTTGGGGAGCAGCATGTCACTGTAAGAAATCATACTTGCTTGGAAGTGCACATGAAGGGACTTGGCATTTGACTATGGCTGAAGACAGAGAGGGAAAGGAGGTACCAAGATGATTCCCAGGGTTTTGGCTTCTGCAACCAGGTGGATACATTCCCTGAGGAAGGGGGCAAGCAGGGGGGTGGACAGTATCTCCTAAAGGAAGCACTTCTGCGATGTAGCAGCACACAAACACTGGTCTTGCACATGTACAACATTCACTGCTACGGAATCCAGAGAAGAGCTATATGCAGCTACATCAGCCAAGGTGTTTAGCTCTTTGTCTAAGCTCAGTTTGACACACTAACACATACACTGTATATCACAATTTTACGGTTTCATTGAAACTCAACCAGCGAATTTGTAGCTTGGTGCTTGGAAATACACAGTGTGTTCTTAATGTTATATCTGCCCCTAGCTCCAGCCTGGAATTGCACTTCCTGAAGTTACCTGCTTTTGCATCCAAAGTTCCTCTCTGAGACATTCTCCCTCCATCTCCAGGCTGGATCAAATTCCTGTTCCAATGTCCTGAATTTATTCATTTCCTTCCATGTGATCTTCCTAACTATGGCTAAAGCTCCCACACTGAAATTTCTCTTACACTTACTCCCCTCCATACCATTTCTTTTCCTCTTCCTCCTTCTCCTCTTCTTCCTTCTTCCCCCTGCCTCTTCTTTTTCCTTTTTTTCTGATCCTTTTCCCTGCTCAGATTCTTTTGCCTAGCTGATCTATTTATCTGTCAATCTTACTGCCTGCCACTCTCTCCAGGGCATTGCACCTACCTCCTCAAATCTTGATCTCCAAACACAGGCCAAGAGAGTATTTCAGCTCTTTCAGACAAAGGGTAACGCTACAAAGCAGAAGTTCTACCCTTTATTATACGAGCTTTCTGGTTAATTAAAAAGAAACGAAACTTACCTCTTCTTCAGTGAGAGTTGGATCTTCTTCTCGGGATTTGTATGACAGTGCACTAAATCTCTATCAGAAGAAACACAACCAAAAGAAAGTAGTGTGAAGTCAACGATCCAAGCTTTGTTATACAGAGGGTTTCTCCGATCTACAAAAATGTTTTCAAATGATTTCTATGGGAGCACAAAGAAATTATGGAAAGCACCTGAGAAACACAAGCTTACATAATCTATTATATGATATTCTTAGATATTTACTTAATATCCCATGTGGAGAAATTTCTCCTGATTTATATTTAAATGTAAAGAGATGAAAAAAGCCAGAATAATTAGACTAGTTTCAATTTCTAACTTTCAATGAATGATCATTAACAAAACATTTTGTTTTGTTTTTATCAAACACCAAATTTTGTATTTCCACAGTTTGCAGGCATTATCAAGAAGAGCCTTAAGTTATCTGGAAACTTTTCAAAACTAGTGGAGGAAATCAGCACATTTTGTGGCTTTCCCTCTGCTGTTATCTCAATAATTTTGTCTCATGTTCACAGATTCTTCCTCTAACACACACATCTCCTGTCTTGATTCTCAGCGACTCAACCAACACATATCCTTCCAAACCCAGCCCTCCAGTCCCTTGGCGTCCTCTCCCTCCACTGGTCTGTGCTCCACCTGCCCTCATCACCTCTCTCAGCACTGCACCCCCAGACCTTCCACACCCTCGGTCTCAGAACCCCCTATGTCCAACTCCCTTTTAACTATCCCCAAACACTTTCCTCACTTGGTTTCTAGTTGAAGCCTGGTTTTCTTTCCTAATTTGCTCGTTCCTGCTGGTTCCCTCTATTCCTTTTTTTTTTTTTTTAAGATTTATCTACTTATTTATTTATATAAAATGCAGAGAGACAGAGAGAGAGAGAGAGAGAGAGAGAGAGAGAGAGAGAGAGATCCATTCACTGGTTCTCTCTCCAAATAAGTGCAGCAGCCAGGATGGGCCAGGTTGAAGCCAGGAGCCAGGAACTCCATCCTGGTCCCCCACATGGGTGGCAGGGGTGCAAGCACTTGAGCAATCATCTGCTGCCTTCTCAGCACATTAGCAGGAAGACGGATTGGAAGTAGAGCACCAAGGACTTGAACTCTGATATGGGATTCCAGTGTTCGTAGCGGTGGCTTAACAAGCAGCTCCACAATGCCAGTCCCAGCTCTATTCTTGGAACCTTCTAGTACCAGTCCATATTCACTCATCCTATGACTTCATCCAACCTTCTTTCCAGTGGCTCAGCCTAACCTCCCTGGACTCAATATTTGCTTTTCCTTGCTACAGACGTGATCATCAGCAAGCATCTTGCCTCCAGCTCTGTTCCTCCCCTTCCTTCTGCTGCCTCTGTCCCGGGCCAAGCCATCACCACCTCTTGGTTTATTAGAATGGTCACCCACTGGTCTCCTTGCTTCCATCCCTTACAGTTTATTTCCCAGCTGTAGTCAGAGGGACACTCCAAAATACAGGTTGGCATGTGTCAATGTGTCATTTTGCTCAAGACTCTCTAATGATCTTGTTAGAATTCTGACTATAAGCCAAGGCCATCAGGATGGAGCCTGGTTACCCTCCTCTCCACCACTCTTGTCCTTACCGCTCCTTCTCCAGCTACAACATCCCCCAGCTCCTTCCTGGACAGGTCTGGCAAGCTCAAGGCTTCATTTGGCCACTCCACTGCCTCTCCTGCTCATTCCCCCAAAAGTGTGTATCTCACTCCCTCATCTCCTCTGATTCTGCTTAAATGTGACTTTTAAAGCTAGGGAAATCCTGATTACTTTATCTGAAATTATACTCCCAACCCCATTTTTCCAATACCCTGTATTCTATTTTTTTTTCTGATAAACTTCAAGCTTTATGTCTGTCTCTTCCCACTAAAATGTAAGCTCCATGGTAGTAGGAATTTGGTTCTTTTTATGTTTTGTTCACTGATGTATTCCCAGCACTTAGAAGATCATGTGGCAGAGTAGGTACTCATCAGAATCTTTGTTGAATGAATGAACACTAAGCGTTTCAAATTCTCAAATCACTTGTTTACTAAAAAAATTTATTTGAGAGACAGAGAGACAGAGTGGTCCCATCCACTGGTTCACTCTCCAAATGCCTGTCGTGGCTGGGGCTGAAGCAGGGAACTCAATCTAAGTCTTCCATGTGGGTAGCAGGGACCTAACCTCTTGAGCTGTCACCTGTTCCCTCCTAGGGTACACATTTGCAGGAAGCTGGATCCTGACATGGTCCTGGGACTGGAACCCAAATACTCTCACATGGGCTGTGGGCATACCAATCGGCAGGTGCCCACTCTCCTCACCTGTTTATTATACTGTAGATCATTTGGTTCCCAATTTGAATATGAATTCTGAATTGCTTATTAGCAGTGGTTAGACAACTGACCCTCCTATCTTTCACATACTTGTAAGTAAAGAGCTTTACCTGGTTTAGGATACATGAACTATAGGCTGGTTTTATTATTTTGATGAAATGAAAGGCAAAACATTAGTCTGCATTTTTGCATCTTACAAACATGTTCATAAACATCTTCATTGACCCTCTCATTCTGCTTATTTCACAAATTAATATGAAAACCTGAAACACATCTGAATGACTGGTTCACCTTCTGTCCATGAACTCTAGAAGTATTGTAAGGCTACTGTTGACTGCTTAACCCTACCTGTCCTTTCTACCAAGACCTAAGCCTAAGTAAACTTTTTTTTTTTTTTTGCTTTTCCTCATTGTAGGGAATAGAAAATAGATATTAGCTGCCTGACGCACAGTAGGCCTGGTTAATCCCCAAGAAGATTTGGACAACTGGAGATGCAAAGTTCACTGTGGCTCAGCCATCAACTTATTAGACACACCCAGAGGAGGCTGTGGATTGTGAACATATTTTAGAGCTTGGGTGAGTAGCTAAACTTAAGAGTTACAGGCTGCTTCTTAGAAACTGTCACAAAATAGGATCTCTCAACTGAATCATATGAAAGTACAGCTGGCCCTCTGTGTGTTCAGGTTCTCCAACCACAGACTGAACCGATTTTGGATCAGAAGCATGTGTACTGGGCATGCACTTTTTATTCCCTTGTCATTATTCCTGAAACAATCTAGTACCAATTATTTACATAGTATTCATAGTATATTAGGTATTATAAGTAATCTAGAGATAATTTGAACTGTAGAAGAGGAAGCAGTCATTTGGAGCAGTAATAAAACACCATTTGGTTGCCTACACCCCATACTGGAGTGCCTGGGTTTGGGTTTCTGGGTCTGCTCCTAGTTCTAGCTTCCTGCTGATGCAGACCCTGAAGGGACATTAGTGATGGCTAAGTACTTGGGTCCCTGCTGCCACCTCTGGGGAGACTTGACCAAATTCCTGGCTCCTGGGCATTTGGGGAATGCTCAGGAGATGGAGACTCTGGCTGTCTGCTTCTCAAATAAACAAGGTAAAAATTTTTTTTAAGTTATATGGGAGACTATGCACAGACTACATTCAAATATTACAACATTTTATGTAAGGGAATCCCCTGTGCATACTGAAAGAGGACCATCTACACAATGAGATATAACCAGCAGTGCATGTGAGCTGTTCCCACAAGGCTCGTCATGGCGTGTTTTGATTCCTCCAATCCTCCAAGGCTTAAGGTCACCATGCTGCATGGGGAGGAAGCGGAGGAGGCAAAGTGTGTGACAAAGAGTCTGGTCTATTTAATTCTTGGTCTTTAAAATGAAGAAAATTAATAATTGGCCCTAATTACACATGATGCAAAAACTGGACAATATCCAAGATAGGTGCTGAGAGAGACATATTTTATAACCTTGAGAGTTCTGCATTTTATTCTTTGGACGGGAGGACAGGGTCAAACACCTCTTGTGCTCAAACAGCTTTCAGCAGTCAACAAACTTAAAAAGTGTGCAAGGAAAAAGCCCGGGATGAGCTAGCCTCCTCGTGAGGACAAAAGCCCACAGAACGAAAGTGCGGGTGCCTACCTTGTTGGTTTCAGGGGTCCCCTCTGGGGCTCGCTCTTCTCCAGTCTCTCGCTCTTCCTTCTCCTGAACGTTTTCGTTCTCATCCAGAAGTTTAATGGGGACAGGCGGTGGTGCCTCCTCCTCCACATCACCCCCGCTTCCAAGAATGCTCTCAGCGTTAGCGCTCTGCCGGCACTTCTTGTTCCTGTCCACGGAGGCGTACTCAGCGAACTCTGCCTTGACCTCGGCCTGGGGCCCCGGCAGCTCCTTCAAGGCTGAATGAGACCTCGACTTGCTGCTGTGGCCTTTCTCCAGGGGCGTGGCGGCCACCACGTCCTTGATCTCCTTCACAGTCTCATACAAGCAGTCCTCCACCATGTTCTCCTGGGAGGAGCTGTCTTTGAGCACTTCGTACGGCCCCTCCAGCCCCAGCCCCTGGTCCCCGTCTGCACTTCTCGTGTTGAGCATCGTGTCCACCGCGCTCTCGGGAGGGATTCTGGGCAGCTCGCGACTCTGATGGCATTTGGGTTTCCCTGTGCTGTCCTGGGAGTCCAGCAGATCTGAGGCTGACGTTTGCACTTCCTCGTAATGTTGCATGCAGGTCAGAGTGCTGTCTTCTGAAAGAACTAAAGCAGTGCAGGTGTTACAAGGGGAGCAAGACAACCCCGGCAGTAAGGACAACAGTGTGTCAGGTAGCCTGGGGTTGGATGAAACTACCACGCTTGCTTTACTTGGCCTGTGGCTGCAACTTAGTTACGGCTGTCAGCTGATATCTTGCTTCAATCATAGTCTAAGCTAGTGCCATCTAGTCTGTGAGAGGTTTCCTAAAACTTCATGAAAAATGTGTATTACGAGAAAACTTGGCATAGATCTTAAAATCTGTGCTCTTTAAAAGATTTATTTATTTGAAAGGGGGAGAGAGAGGGGGAGAGAGAGAGAGAGCTTCCATCTGCCGATTCACTCCCCATATGGCTCCAAAGGTCAGATATAGGCAAGGTAGAAGGAGGTAGGAGCCCAGAACACCATCTGGATCTCCCATGTGGCTCTCCCATGTGGATCTCCCAGGTGGTTGGCAGAGGCTGAAGCCTTTGGGCTATCTTCTGCTGCCTTCCCAGTTGCACTAGCAAGGAGCTAGATCAGAAGCAGAGCAGCCTGGGCATGAACCAGTGCTCCAGTATCTGCTGCCTTCCCAGTTGCACTAGCAAGGAGCTAGATCAGAAGCAGAGCAGCCTGGGCATGAACCAGTGCTCCAGTATGGGATGGGCACCAACGTCACAGGCCATGGCTTTACCCGCTGCGCCACAACCCTGGCCCTTAAAATTTGTTTACATCCAGACAGACTTATCTTTTAACTCTAGATTCCAAAACCTTTTTGATGTACCTGGTATCTTTCCCAATACATGTAATAACCCACATTGGCTATACTTTGGTTCCCCGTTACTTTCATTACTTATTGTTACTCGTCATGAGACACCGGTAGGCAGTGTCCCATGTGGCCAGAGGATGAGGGTGATACTCAAGGGGACCAAGCAGTGGGAGTCCAGACACTGTACTGGAGGGGGGTTTGTGGTGTCACGCTCCCTGACCCTACAGAAAGCTGGGAGGGAGTGATAGGCGGCCCCTCTCAGAGGTCCCTCACTCCTTTGGCAGGCACCACAGACACAAGGGGAATAGATATGCCCTTAGGCCAGTGTGATCCACTATACCTTCTTAAGGGTCTTTCCTTCCTCTCACCTACCACCTACATCCCTATCTCTCATTAGGAAATTTTAATGTGAAATTCCTGAGTTGAAACAGAAATGTGGTGTGAAGCCATCTGGTCACCCTTTAGCAAATGTTTCTTGAGTGCCAATAAGTGCCAGAGATGGTTCATGGGACAGTAGGCACTTTGGTCAGCAAAGCAGAGTCCTGCCCTGTGGTGCCTATGGTGCTGTGAGCCAAGTGTTAACTTAATTCTTCACTCTGGGGAGGCCTTCCAAACAACATGTACAAGGAAATGACAAGGCAACCCTCAACCCTTCTGAACTTCTAAGCACCCATCTGCGTGTAACACAGGCCATGGGGAGGGTCCTGGTGAGCCGTGTCATGGTAGATGGAAAATGTGCACCATGGTGAGGGCTCCCTATCCACAGTTACTGCCCCACCAGGTTATCCTGGTGCCTTGGGGGAAGGTGCTTTGTAGACTGGAAGGTGTGAAATAAAGGCAGAGGCTGCACCTGTCAGCAGGTGGTTCTGAGGGTGTGCCCAAGGCTCAGATTGCCTGGTGCAAACCCAGCATCCTCAGCTCGGGGTATATGAGCTTAAGTACATCATTTACCTTTCTAAGGTCCACAAAATGGGCCCCCAAAGATGTCTACGTCCTAATCCCCAGACCTGTGAATATGCTGTTACATCACATGGCAAGGAGGGAATTAAGGTTACAGATGCAATGAAGCCTACTGATCAGCTGCCCTGGAGACTGGGAGAGTATTCAGGGTTATCCAGATGGATCCAGTAGTGACAGTACAAGGATCCTTCTGAGTGATAGGGGCAGGCAGGGGAGTCAAAGACGTGCAGGTGGAGGGAGAAGCCAGGGGTCAAGGAGTACTAGCAGCCTCTAGAAGGTATAAATGGCAAGGAAGTGGACTCTCCTTGGAGGCGTGACTGTAGCTCTGTGAGGTTTATCCCAGACTTCTGACCTCTAGAATTGTAACTCAATAAATCTGTGCTGTTTTAAGGCTTTAAGTTTGTAGCAATCTGTTATGTGCCAGAGTTTCCTTACCTAGAAAGTCTGGAGAGTGAGATGGCTATCTCACAGGGTGGTAACTGTTACTAACAACGGTACCCTTGCAGGGTGGGAGTAAATGAGTCAGGACACATGCAAATCCTAGAACGATGCCTGGCACACAGCAGCCAATTAATAGACAATAGATAGCATTCATCTGAATGAGACTTTCCCCCCCTAAAACTGGTAGTAATACTAAAAGTCAATAAGAATGTGCTTCCTAATTTTGGGGCTACATTTGTTGAAACCACATGTTTTTGTAGGTGGTGAGGCTTGCATGGAGAGCTGGTGTTTTTGTAGAACTTACTGTCCCCATTGGTGAGTGCCCCGTTCTGTTCACTGCTAGCAAGAGCGTCTGTTGCCAGGCTGGTAACTGATCGGCTGAACATCTCCTTGTCTGAAGGCTGAAAAAAAAAACAGATGCATTCCATTGTTAAGACTCTACACTTAAAAGAGCAAAGCAAACACCAGTGACCACACTCTAGGTTCTAACCACCATTTCTTTTTGCCCCCTTTTTTTTTTTTTAAGATTTATTTATTTATTTGAAAGTCAGAGTTACAGAGAGACAGGGAGAAAGAAAGATCTTCTGTCTGCTAGTTCATTCCCCAGATGCCATACTAGCCAGTGCTGTGGCCAGGCCAAAGCTAGGAGCCAGGAGCTTTTTCCAGGTCTCCCACGTGGGTGTAGGGGCCCAAGCATTTGGGCCATCTTCTGCTGCTTTTCCCTGGTGTGTTAGCAGGGAGCTGAATCAGAAGTGGAGCAGTAGGGTTGTGAACTGATGCCCATATGGGATGTTGGCACTGCAGGTGGCGCCTTAACTTGCCATGCCACAGTGCCGATCCATAACCACCATTTCTAATCTCAGCTTTTCCGAGATGGGCAATCTTCAGGCTGTTGAGATTCCAGATCTGAGAAGCTCAGCAGTGAGGGGCCTGTGTGTCTGTGTGTCTGCAGCAATGCCACTGTAGGCTTGCATCTGTGTGTGTGGCCCCCTCTCTCTCACACACACATAATCCTATGAGTAAGGCGGGGAGGGGGTGGTGGTTAAGGCTGTGATGTGTGAGGAAGAACACACAGAGAGCTGGCTTTGTCTTTTCTGGTGGCTGGGAGAAGCCACAGAGGCGGGATTCCCCATCCCTCCCACCACCCATCCTGGTGCCCTAGATCAGCAATCACTGGCAGCAGGTGGCAGTGGGGACGTGAGTGATGTGGACAACCAGAGGCAGGAATGGGGTGGGAAAAAGCATTAAGGGAGGCGTGGTACTAAAGGGCCCCAGACAGCAGGGTTGGGTTGGGTGCTTGTGTATATGCAGACAGGGAGTGAAGGAAAACCATGGGGTCTCCAGGAGGAACAGGGGGTCCTGACAACTTCCTGCCTGCTTGGGCTAGAAGAACCCTGTGAGTTTCTAGGTCAGGCAGGGTGGTCCTGCATGAGCTCAGACCATGGCTATATGTCTGATGCCTGATCTCACGGCACCCATTTCACTCCTCTGTGCTTCTTTTTCTGGATTCTTCCCCCATCCAGTTTTTGCTTGACCCCGCGAACTAAAGTCCTGAAGAGGACGCACCTTCTGTTTCTAGCAAGACCATGGGGCTCAGGCAGGACTCTATGACTCAGCCTGGCAAACATGAGGGTGCAGGCATCCTCAGCTGCTGGCATTGCTCAGCCACTGATGGGCATGACCCTGAGTTAAAGGACAAGGCTGGATGGGGACAGTCTTAGGCTGCTGCTCACATTGGTGGAGCCCTGGGGATCATCAGGACCCCTAAGATACTGAGGGCTGGGGAAAGTCCAGCAAGGGTAGGCTCTCTTGAGGGTGGTGTGGGTCCAGGGCCTGGTTAGCTTGATGACTAACTGTGTTCTCCCATGATTCACATGTCAAGGTCCTCGGTCCCAGGGCCTCAGGACATGACCTTATTTGGAATTGGCGTCACTGCAGAATGAACATGAGGTCATACTAGAGTCAATGGGTCCTTGTCCCATACATCAGGTATGTTTATAGAAAGCAGAAACTTGATGTAGATATGGAGAGAAGATGATGAAGAAGACAGAGGGAGAACACCACATGATGATGAAGGCAAAGCTGGAGATGACCCACTTACAAACCAAAGGATGACAAAGCTGGCTGGTGAGCCCTCACCGGCCAGGAGCAAGGCTTGTGGAAGACTCACTCTGAAAGTCCCCCAGAAGGAACCAACTCTGCCACCGTCTTGGTTCTGGACTTCTGGCCTCCAGAACTGAGAGATGACACACTGGTTATGTAGGCCACTTAGTCTGTGTGTCTCTGTTGGGACGGGCCCAGCAGACTCATGCAGTAGCTGGAGCTGGGCTGAGGCAAAGCATTCACGCCGTAGGATAGGGTAGAACCACCAAGGATCTTTCTGGAAGCAGCACAATTGCCTCCACTTCAGAAACTCCCCTAGCAAGCCTGTGTAACTGCACAGGCCTCTCGCCATGGCGAGTATAAACCTACCCACAGAGAGTGCAGCCATGGCCAGTGCCAGCTGAGTTGTGCTCTAGGTTCCATTTGGGTCATAAGCACGTGGGAACACACCTGGCTAAGTAGCTGATGTTTTAAAGTATACATATGGGCAGACGTGCACATGTGTGCACGTATACACACACACAAACACACACACACGGACTCACCACGTTCATCAGGTTCTCATGGTCTCCACTGTGTTGTCTCGGCTTCTTTTCTCTGAAACAGAAAATAAAACGTTCTAATGTCAAATGTTCCCCCCTAAATCAACTTACACTACCTGTTCCCATCCCAATTCTTATCAACATTTAAGTCTTGATTGTGAAAGGGCCAGCTGAGGCAGAGTTCTGAGTGGAAATGGGTTATGCCTGGGACCCTGGAAGGAGTACCCCACTTTGCTTGGAAAACCCAGTGTTCTCATCTACTCCCTGAGAATCTTTGCAGAGTCACACTGCAATGGAATGGAGAAACTAAAGAAAATATGAATTTTGGCACATCAGGAGGTACATGCTCTCGGGATGGGTCATATCCACTTCTAGTCTCTGGGAAAGTCTGAGGACTACAAATAGAATTTGTTTTCACTCAGGACGGTCTAAAGAAAGCCGTCAGTTGTAGAGAAGCCATTTCCCATCTTGTATAAAGTGAGAGTGACACCTAGTGGTAGACTTAGTAATACAGAGGCCGGCCCTCACACCTTGTGGCCTCTATTACCTGGCCAGTCTGGCCTGTCCCAGCCGTGACGCCATGGGCCACACTGGGCAGGGATTACAAGGCTTCTTAGGATCAGAGGGTCTGGCTTTTCCTCTGCTAACAGATTCTAGAGTAGGACGCCATATAAGACTTTTAAGTGACACTGTGACACTCTTTCAGTTTCTGCTGAGGTTGACAAGAAAGTCTGGAATAGGGCTGGCCAGCCATTGTCTGGTCTAGGCTGGCTCCCAGCAGAATCTCTTACCCCAGCAAGCTGAATGCCTGTGGGTTTTTTTTTTAAGTTATTTTATTAATCTGAAAGGCAGTGTGTGTGTGTGTGTGTGTGTGTGTGTGTGTGTGTATGGGGGTGGGGGGAGAGAAAGTGTCTTCCATTTGCAACTTCACTCATCAAATACATGCAACAACTGGGGCTGAGCTAGGCTAAAGCCAGGAGTTTGGACCTCATTCCAGGTCCCCTGTGTGCTGACAGGTCTTGGTAAACTTGATAAACTTTCCTTCTTTCTGGGTAAAGATCTCCTTTGTGGGTGGCGACATTTTACAAAAGACAGAGGAGAGGCCGAGGTACGATTCTACAGAAAGACACTGATGACTATTTCATGTCTCTCTTCAAGGATAATGGATGTGTCCTCAAGAAAGCCAAGCTCTACATTACAAATCTTCAGTAATCAATGAGCCCTCCAGAGCTACATCACAACAAGAACTTCTCAAGCAGTGGCAAAAAGGTATAGTGTACCTCACACTTAGAGTTCAAGTGACAGTAGGTGGAAAAAGACAATGTACATTTTGATAAGGAAAGTGCTTAAAACATCAGGAAGAATTTCATTCTGGGGCACTTCAATGACAAGGGCTCTTCCAGTTGCTGTCCAGCAGAATCAAATATGGGCTTTCATTCAATGAACAAAGACTGTCCTGGGACCCTTTGCAGCACGGAGATGTAAGTTAACCTTAACACGTGAGTGTCTGTGAACATCTATGCAGTGCGGTTCTATTCAGACCAGGTTTTCTATCTAAGGCCTCTCCTGCCTATGGTGACACGCTATTTTCAGGTTCTAGTATACGTGCGCTGGTTCTCACCTGTCACAAGTTGAGCACAGAAAGATGAGGAAGCTGATGAGGAAGAAGGTGGCGACAGCGGCCAGAGTTCCCCACAGGATGATCTGTGTCTGTCCACCACTCAGCAGGCTCTCCACGGGTCCCATGGTGGGAGTCGAAATGACACAAACAGGTGGATTCCGTCAGTCCTTCAAAGGTGGCCTCATAGGAGGCAGTGGGCTGTGTCCTCCTGTAGAGAAACCAATGCAGTTGAAAACTACTTCTTGTGTAAAGTTCCAGAATCTTGTACAGGCTGGGCATCCCTATTCTGAAAATCTGAAATCCCAAATCTGAAACCATCTGGGCACTGACACCACAAGATGACAATTCCACCTCTGACCTCATGGGAGAGGTCATGGCCAGAACAGGCACACTAAGAATATCATACAAAATTATCTTCAGGCTCTGTGTGGAAGGTGCATATGAAACATTGGTGAATTTCCTGTTTAGTCTTGGGTCGCTTCCCAGGACATCCCACTATGTATATGCAAATACTTGAAAGTCTGAAAAACATCCCAATGCAAACACATCTGGTCCCATGGATTTTTGGTAAGGGAGCTTCAACCTATAATGAGGCTCCTGTCAAAAGCAAGGCCTGGGAGCAATGTTAGGGAGGTGCTGTAGCAATGAAGAGAGGCTGGAGTGGTTTTTTTTTTTTTTTTTTGACAGGTAGAGTTAGACATTGAGACAGAGAGAGACAGAGAGAAAGGTCTTCCTTCCGTTGGTTCACCCCACAAATGGCCGCTACGGCCGGAACCATGCTGATCCGAAGCCTGGAGCCCGGTGCTTCCTCCTGGTTTCCTACGCGGGTGCAGGGCCCAAGCACCTGGGCCATCCTCCACTGCCCTCCCAGGCCACAGCAGAGAGCTGGACTGGAAGAGGAGCAACCGGGACTAGAACCCGGCGCCCCTATGGGATGCCGGTGCCACAGGCGGAGGATTAACCAAGTGAGTCATCTGAGTATAGGAGGCCCAAAGGATCCCCAAGTAGACACAACCAGAAAACAGCCTCAGGGAGACACATAATGTTCAAACTCTCCAAAGCACAATAAGAGAGACAATTCTAAAATTTGTGTGAGAAAAGCACCAGATCACTTTTAATAGACAGCCCAATAACAGGTTTTTCATAAGAAACCCTACAGGGGAGAGAGAATGGAATGAAAACCTCCAAGTTCTGAAAGGAAATAATTGCCAACAAGGAATCTTTTATCTAGTGAAGTCATTTTCCTAAATGAAGAAGAAAGACTTTGCAAGACAAGCAAAAGCTGAGTGCCTTCATCACTACTAGTCCAGCCTTACAAAAGATGCTGAAGGGAGCCTTACATAATGAGTAATGAGATCGAATCACTGATCAAAAGTCTCCCCACAAAGAAAAAGCCCAGGACCAGATGGCTTTACTGCTGAATTCTACCAAACTGTTAGGAAGAACTAATAGCAGTTCTTCTCAAACTATTCCAAAAAATTTAAAAAGAGGATATCCTTTCAAATTCATTCTAAGAGGCCAGCTTTGCTGTGATTCCAAAACCAGGCAAGATTACCACAAAAAAATTATAGCCCAGTATCCACCATGAACACAGATGCAAAAATTCTCAACAAAATACTCGTAAATCAAATCCAACACAACACATCAAAAAGGTCATGCATCATGGTCAAGTGAGATTTACCTCAGGAACACAGCAATGGTTCAACATGCAAAGCGATAAGCCTAAGACATCACAGCAAAAGAACGAAGGATAAAAATCATAACTGCAGGTTAAAATGCTGCTTGTGATGCCTGCATCCCACACTGGATGACTCGTTCAAGTCCCAGATACCCTGCCTCTGATTCAGCTTCCTGCTAATGCATAGCCCGGGAGGCAGCAAGTAGACAAGTATGTCCAATCTCACTGCTCTTCTCTTCAAGTTTTATGCAGTGCTATTAGGCAAAAGCAAGAGATAAAATGAATACAAATAGGAAAAGATAAAGTCAAATTATTCTTGTTTGCAGATCAGAGGATGCTACATATAGAGAAACCTAAAGACTCTGCTAAGGGACTATTAGAACATATAAACAAATTCAGTTACCTCACAGCATAGAAAAGCAGCATACAAAAATCAGTAGCATTTTTCTATACCAATAACAAAGGCACCGAGAAAGAGATTTTTTTTTTTAATTTTTGACAGGCAGAGTGGACAGTGAGAGAGAGAGAGACAGAGAGAAAGGTCTTCCTTTTGCTGTTGGTTCACCCTCCAATGGTCGCCGCGGCCGGCGCGCTGCGGCCCGCATCGCGCTGATCTGTAGCCAGGAGCCAGGTGCTTTTCCTGCTCTCCCATGGGGTGCAGGGCCCAAGCACTTGGGCCATCCTCCACTGCCTTCCCGGGCCACAGCAGAGAGCTGGCCTGGAAGAGGGGCAACCGGGACAGAATCCGGCGCCGCAAGGCGGAGGATTAGCCTATTGAGCCACGGCGCTGGCTGAGAAAGAGATTTTAAGAGCAATCCTATTCACAATAGCAATAACAACAAAAATACAATGGAAAAAATTTTACCAAGGATGTGAAGAACTTCTAAATGAAAATTACAAAACACCGATAAAAGAAACTGAAGTTAAATACAAAGTTCCACATTCAGGGAAGAATTAGTATTATTAGAATGTCCATATTACCCAGAGTGATTTACAGATTCAATGTAATTCTCATCAAAATACCAATGACATTCTTCACATCACTAGAGAAAGCAATCCTATAATTCATACAGAAGCACAAAAGACTGACTAACCAAAGCAATAAAGAACAAAAAGAACAAAGCTGGAAGCATCACAATACTGGTTCTGAAAACATTACTACAAACTCTTGGTACTGGCATAAAAACAGGCCAGCAGAACAGAATAGAGAACTCCGAAATTAATCCATACTTCTATAGGCAACTAATACTTGACAAACATACCACAAACATACACTGGAAAAGGGGCCGACTCGTCAATAAATGGTGATGGGAAAACTGGCTATCCACAAGCAGTGGATTGATCCGGGACCCCTATTTCTCACCCCACACAAAAATCAACTCAAAATGGATCAAAGATCTAAATATTAGACCTGAAACTACGGAACTAGTAGAAGAATATGTAGGGGAAATAGTTTAAGGCACTGGCATAGGCAACGATGTTTTGGGTAAGATCCCAAAAGCAATAAAGGCAAAAACAGACAAATGGGATCATATTAAACCGAGAAGCTCCTGCAAAGCAAAAGAAACAATCAACAGTGAAGACACAACTGACAGAAAGGGATAAAATATTTAGAAACTATGGCTTTGATAAGGAATTAATATGTAGAATATATAAGTAGCTAAAAAAAACCCTCAAAAATGACAAAAAAAAATTCAGTTAAGAAGTGGCTAAAGGATTTGAATAGACATTTTTCAGAAGAAGAAATACAAAAGGTCAACAAATACATGAAGACATATTCAATACTACTAGCCACTGGGGAAAATGCAAATTAAAACCACAATGAAGTACCCTCTCATTCTAATTACAATGGCTAGGATCAAAATGGCTAAAAAAAAAAAATACTGGAGAGGATGTGAAGAAAAAAGAACTCTTATACATCATTGGTGGGGATACACAGCAGTATATCCACTATAGAGAAAGGACAGAATTCTTCAAAACACTATAAATGGACTGACACAGGATGCAGCTATCCCACTTCTAGATTTATATCCAAAGGAAATGAAGTCAGTGTATGAAAGAGACACCTGCACTGTATGTTCACCGCAGTGCTATTCACAACAGCCGAGATACAGATTCTACCTAAGTACCACCAGTGGATGAATGGATACAGAAAAGAGGCAGACATACATAATGGGGCATTCTTTAGCCATATAAACAATAAATTCTGTCATATGCACACAGTGGATGGATCTAGAGATCACTACGCTAAGTGAAATAAACCAGACACAGAAAGACAAACACTGTGTGTTCTTTCTGACATGTGGAAGCTAAAGAAAAGTTGATCTGAACTTAGAATAGAGACTGCTATGGGCTGGGAAAAGGGGGGTGATGGCATGGTGGACAGCAGAAGATTGGGTCTAGGTACTAAAACACAGTCAGATAGAAGTACCAAGTTCTAGGGTCCCATAGCACAGTGGGATGACTACAGTGAACAATACTGCATTTTATCACTGGAAGAGAGGAGCTAGTAGGGTCCAAATACAATGAATAGATAAGGCAATGGGAAGGCTGGTTACCAACACTGATTGGTTTATGCTGTGTATGTGTGTTGAAATACTGCACCATGCAACATGAAAATGTACAGGTTTACATGTTAATCAAAAATTTAAAAATCGTAACAAAATAAATGGAAAAAGAGTAACAATTATCTGCTATTATGGAGGCCTTGTTTGAAGAAAAAATTTAAAAACTGTTTATTTACTTATTTTCATCTGCTGGTTCAGTCCCCAAATGCCCTCAACAGCCAGGGCTGGATCAGGCTGAAGCCAGGAGTCAGGAACTGCATTTGGGTCTCCCATGTGGATGGCAGGGTCTCAATGACTTGAGCCATTATCTGCTGCCTCCCAGGATGCATTAGTAGGAAGCTGGATTGGACCTGGAGTAGCTGGACTTGAACTGGCACTCTGATATGGAATGCAGGCTTGCCAAGAGGAACTACACTTGCTGCACCATAACACCTTCCCCTTAAAGAACATTTGCTTAGTCAATTCTAGAACATTCTAAGTTAAAAGGAACTTAATCAAGTGTCATCAATAAACAAATATTTTTGTCTTAATGAATGAGAACTCCACACAATATGTTTCTTAAAAAATACTGCTGATGTTTGTACTTTCATTTGCTCCAGTGATGGAACTGTAACTATATTTAGCCCTCACCAGAATGCTCACAGCAAGGCAGCACCAGGGTGTCCCAGTGGCAAACCAGAGTGTATGAAGGAATAAATGCAAAGCCATTTCAGCCAACGTAGTTCCACAGCATGCAGTTTTCTCCAGGTACAACATGATCACATCTACAAGGAAAGAGAATTCTGGGAGTTGAAGTGGATTGTTTTCCTCAGTCTCTGACTCAGCACAAACACCTTCTAATGCTCTGTAAGAATATAAACGGGAGCTGGCGTTGTGGTATAGCAGGTAAAGCAGCTGC